TCAAATAAAGGGCATCACGCCAATCGAAAGTTCCCCGACGAACGACCTCACCGCTGAGGAGAGACTGACCTCGCCGACGATTGAAAAGACGTCCCCGTATATTCTACACGTACGCGGAAGACGCAAAATGTTACGGCGAGCCGCACGTAAACGACGCTCCCTTCTGGACTATCTTTTCGGACATTCGTACTCTAGACGCGATTCACACGTGTCTGGTCTGCGTCTCTTGCGCGTGACTCATCCCGCGCGAAAGGATAAGAAAAGGAAAATTATAAAACCCGAGGCCGCCTGCGGAACGTACGTGACTGCTTTCTGTCCGCAGTCGCCGCTATACGAGCGCAACATTTTCGATAACGACGAGCCGCGACAATGGTCCTCTTTGTGTGCGAGTCGCGATTGATAATTCCCGGCGCCGCGGCACACCATGTGCTACGCCGTTCACCGCGACCCGCATTCGCGATACCTCCTCCGGTATCCGTCAAGGCGAGGGAAAATTGCTCGCCGAACGGGGTTCACGACCGGAGTATCAATGAGTCACATCGATTCCTCGCTTCCACGAAAGACAGACTGGTTCGCGCCGGAGATAAACGGTTTAATTGTCCATCTTGAAGGACAACAATAAACGCGTTGCCTCCCTCTCTTTCTTTGTCCTTTTCATCAACCTGCCCTTCCCTTTGTTCGTGACCGTCGGTCGAAGGTATTTTTGGCTGCTTCCCTTCTAGAGAACGCAATCGGCATTTTTTTAAACAGATCGTCGCTTTCCATTTGGAATTTCGTTAAAACTCGATTGACACTTTTCGACTCTGCTCGGGAGGAGATTTGGAGTGTGTTTTTGACCGAGGAACGCATTCGCTCCGAGTACTTCGATAGAATCTTTCTCGACAGAACCTTTTCTTCAAATCTTGTTCTTTAAGTCTTCGCCATTTCACAGTGGCAAACTCTGCTCCCCAGTGGTCGAATTGGATTCAATGCTATTACGCTTCAATGTATCATAAAATAGAATCGATGTAGCACCACTATTGAAGTAAAATCTCTAATCTTAGTAATTAGAATTTAAGTAACAACGATTTTCGTTTCGAAACATTTTCTCGATTGAACAGAATTAATCGTTAATTTAATCAATACCAATAAGTCCGCAGAATGATACACAAAACGTAGTAACAGTCGCGGAACAAAGTAATGTGAAATATTAAGTACGGAATTTTCCATTGCGTAGGCAGGTCAACGAATTCTCAACGTTTCTTTTGTTGTTTTTCACTCGGCGCGGTATCGTGCGACGTTACGCGGGCCATAGTTTACCTGAAGGTCGCCGCGCTATCACTCGCTCGCCGAACGTCGAGCCGGCAAGCAGTGGCGAGAGTCGCTCCGTGCGTGGTATTACTTTTGCGTTATCGGTTTCCAAGACTCGATCGCGATGAATGCAGGCATAAAACACTATTGATTTGCACACCGTTATCAGTAACAAGTAACGTTCCTCGATTAATCATTAAGTTTTTACAACTTGCAAAGAGAAACGAATTGTATATTGAGGCGACGGTTCTTTATCAACGTGTACCTAGATATTTCACGAGATTAACTCATCTAAAATATGAATGTAAACCGTGGTACTTTGCGCGGTTACATCTCGTTTACGCACCGCTTTTAATTATCTGTCGATTTCGTGTAATCTGTTCCATTTTCGGGAAAAAGGAGAAATTTGTACGACTTCGCTCTGTCGTTCTTCGCAACTCGAACGGGCGGGAAATAAAGAAACTCATTTATTGCACGTCGTTACATTATTTCTTTGCCGCAGATTATGCTTCCGATGCTCGCGTTGCGTTTTATATCGCCAATTCGAAAGTGATTTATCCATTATCCTATTCTTCCGAATCAAAAATGCAAGTTGTTAGTTTGAGTAATTTATATGACAGAAAGTCTTGGAAACCGATAACGCAAAAGGTAATAATATTTCGTGTGTTCGCGGTATTTCACATCGCGTAGTGCCGGAAATTTCGCGCGATCGATGATTTTCGCGAGTGAGTGTTGTGTAAGTGCAACAAGAAAATCTGAGAGGAGGAGGAGGCCGAGGAGGCATCGGGCAACGGCGGAGAAATCGTAAGGTAAGTGTCTTACATTTTTATGTTATTTAATTGTTACTTGTGCAAAATAAAGCATCTGTTCTGTGTTTTTATTTTATTTATTCAAATGATTCGAACGAGGAGTCGAATAAGTGTTAGAGACAAAACCAATGTATAAAATTTTGTGAATTTATATTTAAAAGGAAGACTTTCTCAGTATTTTATATAATTATCTTAATAAATACCTATTTTTTTAAATATAAAATATGAAGCATATTTAGTACAATAATTTCGATTTGACACAATTAGTCTATACTAATCATATACATATTTGTATTTTTACAGTTTAACACACACGATGTACAACTCTGCGATTGCGAATCGTATCAGTGAGGGATAAATTACTTTTTATTTTAAATTGACGTTGCGCATACAATTACTTCTTTGCATGTATAGAAATTCTTAAAAATATACAATGCTCAACTACAAACTGCGCGCGCGAAGCGCGCGTTTGGTCATCTTTAATTTTTATACCAAATGAGGTTGCGAGAGATATAAATGTGTCAAGAATATTTTTTGTCCCAGTAACAGAAATCCTTTCTGAGGGTGTATGGAAGTCCAGATTCAAACCCTGGCTGAGGAAATATTTTTCGCAATAAATTTTCTGTGTTAAAACACTGGCCGGTTAATGTCGACTAAAATGCTTGAGTATTGTGCTCGAGTGTGTTAACTTGCGTCGATTTCCCAGCGAGAAATGACTCGTCGATCGATGTCGAAACGATATCAACACCATCAAATTGACGTCGATTTAACATCGTTTCGACATCGATCGACGAATTACTTCTCACTGGGTTGTGGCTAGTAAAAGGGAAGCAGCCTTTGACATACATTTTGGTTAGACTGTGAAAAAGCAATGAAACAATTTACGCAATCGTAGACTCGTTTGATAAATGATAATTGTAAATGCGGAGTAACATCGCAGTCCTGGACACTTGCACCGTCGCGTTTTGAAAATCGATCGATTCGAGAGATTAATGCAACGATTAACGTAACAATGCGACGTAAATCCCATATCGCGATAAGAATTGCATACGGAGAGCGTTATGCGATCGAATCTTACACAACGACGATAGCGAAAAGTCACGAATATTTTTATTAGTTCTCGCAGAAAACCCGTTGTACCGTGCGTGTCTAGAAAAACCGATTCGTGATTACGTAGATTAGATTAGATACGCGGGTCTTTATTGCAGCTTATCAGCGCTGTGTTATCGATTAACCCCAGTTTTGCACCGGTTAATCTGCAATTGCATTTCGATACTCTACGCGGCGATCTCGGAAACTTGGATTCGCCTCGATATATTGTGTGACGTCAACATGATTAATTTTATCCTCGGTTCTTTTAATTATAACAATCGTCGATTTCTATCGCACTGTAAAGTCCATTCCACGATCGACACGTGAAATTATTGATCGCGACGGAAATTTATTCCCAGCGTCTGTATAATATTTTATTTATTTGTTACACCTTGCGACGAACACAATTTGCGAAAATTATATTCCTACCCAGATAGCACACATAGTTCTATGAATATTTTTCTGAATTGCAAATATTCGTAATTTCAGAATATTCCAATCGAATATTCTATAAAAATATATATAGATTATTACAATTAGAAATCGTATATTCATAACAAATAAGAACGCGTTTAAAATATTCGTCGAGAATGTCTTTGGAATATTCGATCAGAATAATTCTTTTAATATTCATCGAGTTCACGTATTGCACATTGTTCATTGTGTAATACACTTATCTTATGCAAAAGGCAGTGAAACCAGTGATCATACCATACATAATCGACACGCTATAATCGATAGATTGTTCTATTCACATTCGAAAAAGACTTATAGTAGTGCCAGTCGAATGTTCCACGAACATAAGATAAATATATAAGAATGACCTATGGAATATTCCAAATATTGTTGAATATTCTTAAAATGTTCATAGGAGTGTCCTGTGCTATCTGGGTAAGATTGCATTATATTCTGTTTTCTTTTAAGCCGACGATACGTACTTTCAGGCCCGGTTTTGTCAGTTTCTGGTTAACTGTTAACCAGAAGTCGACTCTCCATCTTTTTCTATGTTATTATCAGGGTTGGGAAAGTTACTTTATAAAAGTATCTAGTTACAGTTACAGTTTTCTTCGCTAAAAATGTAACTGGTTACTGTTACAAGTTACCAATTCTAAAAAGTAACACGTTACAGTTACTCAAAAAGTAACGAATCGTTACTTTGCGGTTACTTTCTTGCAGTGAAAATAAAAATATCAAATCTGCATTTGAATTGTAAAGCGTCGACAAAGGTGCAATATGCGAGGCCTAATGCGATCTGTGGAGGTTTAAAAAATATATAAAGTAACTATGTTACTAGTCGTCGAAAAAAATGTAACTGAGTTAAGTTACAGTTACAGATGGAGAGAAAGTAACGAAGTTAAGTTAGAGTTGCCACAAAAAGTAACTGCAGCTGTAACTTCGTCACAAGTAACGAGCTACTTCCCAACCCTGGTTATTATCTGAGAAGAGACAGAGAGTCGACTTGACCTCTGGTTAACAGTTAATCAGAAAATGAAAAACCGGGCCCCAAGAGACTCGCTGATTTACGGGAAGACTCGATACGAAATCTCTCTTTCGTTCTTGTTAAAGTTGTTCGTAAGAAAGCGAGCCGGTCATTAGTGCGTGTGATAGGGGTTTACTTATACGAGCTTCCTGTTTCGGCAGTAGCCATTCTTACGCGGGTTTTCCTGCGTTTCGCTGTCAGGCACCGTTTCGTTCCGCTATCAGTCACGCGGATAACGAAGAGGAGAGCGAGGGGGAGAGAGAGAGAGAGAATGAGAGGGGGGGGGGGTTGGTTGTCGCCGGTGGGCGATGGACGGGAGGTGGTGGTCAACCGCTGGATCATTGTTCAGCAACAGTCGCAAGGTGGTTCCTCCGTTCTCCAGTACCTTCTTCGGTTGACATCTCGAAGCGGCGAACACGCGGCTCTCCTCGCGTACGAACGCGCGAACCGAGACACGTCCCGAACCAAATATCGAAGTAATATCAATTTTCTTGCGTGTTTACGTTTAAGTGTACCGTCGGATACGATGACGGACCATCTTCTACCTGGTGACTCGCGTTACCTCACGGCCTGGCTCCCGCGTTGTGCGAATGGCTCCTCAAAGAGGACAAGTGGATTAGATATAAAATTTCTACAACGCGAAAGATTCGTTAGAAATAAGTTCAATTGTGCGACACGGAATTGAAAGAAAAAGGGCGTAGATGCATTGCTGTGGAGAAAAATGAAAGTGTATCGCGCGAAATTGGCAGAAACGGTGATCCACGAGGCGGACATAAAATGCTCGCAGAACTTTTCGAAATAAATCTCTCGCGTGCTTGTTCCTTCGTGCGTTCGCCGAGCAGAAATTCAATTAGTTTTTCTGGGGGTTGTTTCGAAAAAGTAAACTACGGATTTCGATGCAGGGAGATTTTCAAGCGAGTGAACCGCTCCAGGGTCAAAACTCGCGAAAAAGTTCGCGTACTTCTAATCTTTCATTATCCCATGTTATCTCTTAGATTACTGCATCGATTGTCATACGTGTACAAGTTCTCTTCGAATAATAACACAGCACTCGAAAAATACGATAAAGCGTTTTTAACAATAACAGTAGTTGTACTTGGAAAGAAATTTTTTTAACTTCTATCTGAGCTCTCTCCATCGACCAGATGGATTAAAAGATTTTCCGCTTCGCCGATTTGGCATCGATCTTTTGCAACCATCTAATCTCTTCCGCTTAGACCCGGCACTGACGTCGTGAATCGGCGAATTCGCATTTATCTTATCTGATCGATTCGCGTTTATTCTAACCAGGTAGCGAGGACTAACCGGAGTCGGAATCCGCGATCGCGATTAACAACGCCGAAACGAAGATAACCGAGTCTATTTCGTGTTTCTTTCTCCATTTGGATATCGCAAGTGCCAGCCGGATCGCGGAAACATGGGGTGAGTGTGTACATGTATGTGTGTGTGTGTTTGTTTCTCCATAGATTTCAACTAAACCGCAAAGTCTTTTCCCCGAGGGATGATTTCGAATAAACCTGTTAAATTTGAAACGCCGGATTTAATTTGGTAGCTTGTCGGAATGTACGGCAGCGTCAGGCAGAAATTTTACGACTCTTCGCTATCGAAAATTTGTATGATTGTATTATCGTACACTGATAAAAAAATATCTTAATCCAAAAAAATATTACTTTACTCAAGAGAATTATTAATCAGGTGGCTCCTAATAGCTTATTAATTTTAATTTAAAAAATAATAAACAAATTTACACATGTATTTCTTTAATTTAAGTATTTATTAAATGTCAAATAGTGGATAATTTTAAATTGAAAAATTTCACTTTAATTCTATAAAATGTTTACTAAGATATAAGTTTTACAGCGAAGAAAATTGGATTTCTTATTTGACAAAAACAATGAGTTTATTTAACAAATGGTATTCTCTGTCTCATGAAATCTTTAGTTAAATTAATTTACTTAATATAATACACAGATTTACTTGAAATTTTATATTTTTTTTAAGTGGAATAAATATTTACTTTGGCAAAAAGAAAATAATTTCAAGTAAATCAATTTACTTGGTTTAAAAAAAATTTTTGTCAGTGTAGACTGTGCATACGATATTTTTGCTTTCTCTACTCTCCCTCGTGTTCCTTTATCTATTCAGTGCATATAGAAATATTTGTCGACTGATCTACCGCCACTCGCTCTATTGTCTACGAACGTTGAATGTTACGAGCTTCGATATCTAATCTGAATTCTTATCGTTTGCAAGTCCGCGAGGCCAAATACGAACGGCGACTTTACACGCTACCTGTTAAATAAATTTTTAACGTCACATCAAAACAAGTGGAACAGAAAATGGAACCTGTCAGCGCTACAGACCAACCACTTTTTCAATTTCACGATGTTAATTTTGCAGCGACAGATAGTACGATCAGAGAAATTTCAATGACAACTGACGCTTAGCAAATGTATCTGCTCTTCCAAGTAACGGAATAAAATTTTTCTTAACAAATTTACAATAGAAATATATTTGGACAAATGGATACAACGCGACTATGAAAGAATTGGATCAATGTATAAGTTCGATTTTATTTTCTTCTTATTGTCTCATTACCATAAGTTGCAAAACTGATAAATCCTAGTATCCTGCTAAATTACTAGACGAAAGAGATATTCAGGGGTAGCTCATTCTTTTGCACATTTGCAGCGCGGAAACAGTCGACACCGGGGGTGTCTACAAAACACCCGTCGCGAGACCGGAAGTCCTCAGACACGACGGGAAGTTGCCCGGAAACATGGAGCGCGGATTGCACGAGCGTGACCGAGTCGGCGTTCAAGACTTCGTCCTACTTGAGGACTTCCGCAGCGAGTCCGCCTTCATCAATAATCTGCGCAAACGATTCAACGAGGATCTCATTTACGTGAGTCGACAGCGTAATTAAAAGTGGCGCGAATTGTAAACGAAAATTCTCAGTTATTTCGTATCTATTTTGTTGAGAAAGAAAAACAGGATATATTTTAATATTCTTTCGGTGCTTTTGATTTATTTCAGTATATTGTTTATAATTAATAAGGAACAAATCTTGAGATGTCGAAGTGAAAGAAAATTTTACTTTACGTTTTTATATTACCTATATTCTTTTACGTAAAATGGATTTCTCAGCCACGTGTGATTTTATATGAAAAAAATAATATAAAAATGTAAAATAAAACTTTGACGACTGATGACTGATTACACTATACGCAGTTGAATATAAAAAAAAAGATTTAGAGTGGCACAGTGAAAGGAATTTCTTATCTTCAATCTCGCAGACGTACATCGGCCAGGTGCTAGTGTCGGTGAATCCTTACAAGAAACTGCCCATCTACACCCCGGAGACCATCCTTTACTATCACGGGAGAAATTTCTTCGAGGCGCCTCCTCACATGTAAGCATCCACCACGCGTCGAGTTTTGTTCGACTTTTGCCAGGAGAAACGTCTGCAAGAGAAAATGCAACAAATTCGGCTTTGTATGAAACAAAGTAAAACGTCGGTGTTTCTGTAAATTATTAAAAATTTATTTTCACACAGTTTCGCTCTCGCGGACACTGCCTATCAATCCCTCGCTAAGGAGAATCGCGATCAATGCATCCTGATTTCAGGTAAGAAGACACGCTTTTATTCGTTTTACATTGATATTGAATTTTGTATAATCCCTTTCTGTCGTTTCTTTTTTATCGTCGAGCTCGTTTTTCTACATTTTTACGTCGTTTAAGGCGAATCGGGATCCGGGAAAACGGAGGCGTCTAAGAAGGTCTTGGAGTTTATCGCGGCTGCTACCGGACATAAAAAGCAGGTGGAAGAGGTGAACGATAAATTGATTGGCAGCAATCCCGTGCTGGAAGCCTTCGGTAATGCAAAGACCAATCGCAATGACAATTCGTCTCGCTTTGGCAAGTACATGGACGTTCAGTTCAATTTCCAGGTGAGAATTGAATTTAGTAACGCGTTTCTTTTAAAAGCAAGATCAAAAGAAATTGAGAAAAGTTTTCGCCAAAATTAAATTTATTACTCTCAAAAGTAACAATTGTGATCATGACAATAATTCGAGAAAGAGAAAGAAAGGAGAAACATATTTACAAGAGAATTATTAATGTACAGCTATTGCGCGAAAGTTAATGATTATCGATTTTTCTTGATTCGCTTGTTTTTGCGGAAGCATTTCGAGCATTTGGTTTAACATTGTTGGATAACGCCTGCACGTGTTCTCAGGGAGATCCAGTCGGTGGAAATATCTTAAATTATTTATTGGAGAAGTCTCGAGTGGTCCATCAATCGGTTGGCGAGCGGAATTTCCATATCTTTTATCAGCTGTTAGCGGGTGCGGATGACGACACGCTGCGAAAACTGTTCTTGAAAAGAAACCTCGACACGTTCTTCTACCTGAGCAACGGGGTAAGCTCATTCGATTTTCGTATTTTATTTTTTAAATTGAAATCTTTCTCGCTTCTTTCAAATTTGCTTCCTACAATCTCTTTGTTGATTTTTTGATTTCGTAAATCGATCCCTTAGACGAAAGGTACGGTGGACACCATCGATGACGCTAATCAGTACAAGGAAGTTATCCGGGCCATGAGGACCATGGAGATGTCTCAGCAGGAGCAGAATGACCTGTTTGCCATAGTCGCGTCGGTGCTGCACATGGGTAACGTGGGCTTCTCGGAAGAGGACGGCGTAGCGACTATTCTGAAACCCGCGTCCGTCGATGCCGTCGCTACGGTAATTATTTCTGAAATGATTTTCATTAAAATCATTAATATATTTGCGAAGCCAAAGTATCAAAAGCAGCAGATTACTAGTAAAATTATTAGCCTTTTTTTTCTCATTATCATTTCATTACGTAATTATTTCCGTTTCATATTATTTCGTTGTATACGTATAAATTCTTTCGTACATTCGTTACTTGCAAATTGCTAGAGATGTCACATTTCTTGAATTGTGATTGAATAGCTGCTAGGATGCGACGTGGAGCGACTGGCAAAGGCGTTTACTCATCGCACCATAGATGCTCATGGTGACGTGGTGGTTTCACCCTTGAATAGGGAATTGGCCATTTATGCGAGAGACGCGCTGGCCAAGGCCGTGTACGACAGATTATTCACCTGGCTCGTGACTAGACTTAACAAGTCTTTACAACCCCAGACTAATCCTCGGCGCAAAATGGTCATGGGCATTTTGGACATTTATGGTTTTGAAATCTTTCAGAAGAACAGGTAACTGTCGAACAGCAATTACGCACGCTTAAAGATTTTACAATAAAAATATTATGCATTCCATAAATAATAATTTCAGAAAAATGTTTTTTCTAAATTTTTATATTTTATTTTACATTTGTATAATTATTATATATTCTATATATTTAATTAATATCTTTATTCAAGGCGTGGGATATTTTTGAAAATCAATTATCACCAGTATAACGCAAATATGGCGACGTTACTATCAGTTATCAGATAATTTTCTCTTTTGTTATTTCAGCTTCGAGCAGTTCTGTATTAACTTTTGCAACGAGAAATTGCAACAACTGTTTATCCAACTGACATTAAAGTCGGAGCAGGAGGAATATCTGCGCGAAGGGATAACTTGGGAGAACATAGAATATTTCAATAATAAAATCATTTGCGACCTGATTGAAGAGAAATATAAAGGTTGAATTTTTATAAAATCCGGTCAAAACCCACTTTCGCAATTACACGTTATCATTAATTAATCGTAATGCGGCAGGAATGATATCATTAATGGACGAGGAGTGTTTACGACCTGGAGAACCAACGGATATGAGCTTCCTAGAAAAGTTGAACGTAAATCTGAACAACCATCCTCATTACATTAGCCATCAAAAGGCTGATATACGAACGCAGAAGATTATGGGACGAGACGTAAGAATCCTATTCTAAATATTAAAATTGTATCATGAATAATATCTCGATACTGGAGAGAGAACTAAATCTATTCGATTGTTTTAATTGTTTTAGTTGACTTAATTTATTTTAATTTGTTCAATTATATATAAATATGTTATCTGCTAATCTCTATTTATTGTATTATTTACAGTACCGATAAATAACGATAATTATTTGAGATTCGCGCAAAATTGAGTGTAAGAATGAGCTTAACATTTCAGGAATTCAGATTGGTGCATTACGCCGGCGATGTTACATACAACGTACGCGGATTCCTCGAGAAAAATAATGATTTGCTATTTCGAGATTTACGCGAAATTATGTCACATACAACGAATTCCATCACAAAAGTAAGAATTTAATTTTTCTACAAGAAAAAATTACAAACAATTAATTATTTTTTCTTCTAATTTCTCTCGTATACTTACTTTTCGCGAAAATATTTTCATCGGTTTGGTTTCGAATATTTTCTACGTTTTTCTTGCAATTTTTACAATTTCTTGTCGCTTACAGACTGTATTCGACGTGAAAGATTTAACCAGTAAGAAACGCCCGGAGACTGCCATAACTCAGTTTAAAAATAGTTTGAACAATCTGGTTGAGATTCTCATGGGTAAAGAACCGTCTTACATTCGTTGCATCAAACCTAACGATTTCAAGATGGCCAGTAAGTAGACCAGATGTAAGATATAAAGTTGAAATAAAGCGACAATGCTCGACGCAGTGTTGATGCTAAAGTAATTAAATTCAGCACATATAAATGTAAAAATAAGAACATTTTATTTTTACGTTCGTCTAATTCGTCTATTAATAGAAGGGAAGGAAAGGAATCTTTAAAAAACCTATTGAAACTCATCGAAGCGAGATTTATTGAACTTTCAATTTCAGACAAATTCAACGAAAAGATCGTGTTGCATCAAGTGAAGTATTTGGGCCTGATGGAGAATTTGCGAGTGAGACGCGCCGGTTTCGCATATCGAAGACCGTACGAGCAATTCTTACAGCGTTATAAGTGCCTCTGCTCGGAAACCTGGCCGAATTATCACGGCCCGGCCAAGGAGGGCGTGCAGACACTCGTGTGCCATCTCGGCTACGAGTGCGACGATTACAGGATGGGAAAGTAAGACCACGATCGTCATTAAGCGCGTCGTGAATTACAACTCGTATTTTGCAAAAGCAGAGCAATTAAATTTTGGAAATCGTCGACGAGCTGAAAATCATAATTAACGCTTATTAAATTCATTACAGCACCAAGTTATTCATCCGATTTCCTAAAACGTTATTCGACACGGAGGACGCGTTCCAAATGAAGAAGCACGAGATAGCTGCCATTATCCAGAGCAAATGGAAGGGTATATTAACGAGGAGGAAATATTTAGAAAAGCGAGAAGCAACGATCGTTTTCCAAAAATATATTCGCAGGTGGCTCGCGAAACGCAGTGCCACAAAACGACGACAGGCAGTTGCCACTGTCCGCAGGTATATCACTTAATCTTTTTTCTTTTTTTATTAAATGAATATATATTATAGATGTACTCTTTTATTATATATATATATTTTTATATTGTGCTTAATACAGATTCATCGAAGGCTTCATAACACGGGATGGAGCGCCTACAGAAATTAACAAGGCATTTATTGAATTGGCGAAATCACAATGGCTTATCAGACTTTCGAAGACATTGCCACCGGGTGTCTTAAATAAATATTGGCCGCCATGTCCATATTCTTGTCAAGAGGTACAGAATAGAAATACGAAATAGCTACATAAGCTATAATATTTCTACATTATCAGCATCATAAAAATTATCAGCATAATAGAAAACACGTCACTAGTACAATTGTATAATTAAACTAACGCGATATGGCGCAATTATATGCGTATATTCCTGTATAATCCCGTTTTTCGTTTTTTATTGCATAATAAACGACATAATAAATTTATGTAATTGCACAGGCATCAGAGTATTTACGCGTAATGCACAGGCGATGGAAAGCCCGTCATTATCGAATGGCGCTAAGCAAGGAGGAGAAGGAACAATTCGAGTTGAAGATACTCGCAGAGTCTCTGTTCAAGAATAAGAAGAAATCTTACGCGAAGAGTGTAGGTCCGAGATTTGTAACCGATCGTCTCGGTGAGGAGTACAAAGCACTGCGGCAAAGCTTTATCAGCAACATTTTAACATCCGGAGAACATATAAAGGTAAATATGAATTTCGCCAAGACATTGCAACACTTATTTTTTAAAGTCGAAAAATAGACGCGTAGACAACATCTTTATACTGTTATTGCGACAAATATTATCATATGCCTCGGTGGTCGAATTGGTGAGACGCCCGCCTAGAGTGTAGGGAGGTCCAGGTTCAAACCCTGGCTGAGGTAATGTTTTTCGCAATAAATTTTCTCCATTGACAGAGAAATTAACAAATGTAGTCTGGTCGAATAAAATTGGGAATTTTAGTATTATACTGGCAATTTGAAGAAACTAAACTTATTTTTTTCTTTTGTATTACATGTATTAATGTATTTTTTTATGTAGAATAATTTGTATAAAATGGAAATCTAAAATAAAAATCTGTGCCCTTAGTACGCCACTCCCGTCATCAAGTACGATCGACACGGCTATAAGCCGCGCGAGAGGGTGCTCATTTTAACAGAGAATGCCGTATATATTCTCGACACTCTCAAGACCTTCAAGCTTAAGCATCGTCTACCTTACAAGGCTATCGAGGAGTTGGTCGTCACCGGGGAATCGGATAATTTACTCATCGTTAGGATACCACCCGAATTGAAAAAGGACAAGGTTTTTATACTTGGAATTTCACAAATCTTAATATTCTGTAACTCTAAATAAAAAGAATTATTTCAAACTAGTAGTGAAATAGAATATAAATGATAAATTTAACAGAGAGAAGTTAATAAATAGTTTGATTCTCAGTGACCGCAACTGGAATAAACTGAATTAGAAGCAAAGAGTAATTTAAAATTAGTCTATCAAAATCAACAAGCAAGTGAATCAGATTTCCGTGCATTTCTGTCTTACAGGGTGACTTGATCTTAGAAGTTCCGCATCTAATAGAAGCGTTAACGAAAGCGATCGATATCACCAATAATCCCAACATTCTCAAGATCGTCAATACCGAATCGTAAGTGCTCTTCAGACTTCTTGGAGCATCGCATTTGTCCCTTCGTTCAGTGACATATTCGATCGAAAATTTAATCTGGCCAATCCACTTTTGCTACTATTCATCCTAATTCCACTAATATTTCTAATATAATATTCCAGTGTGTCCCACAAACTAGTCAGCGGTAAGGAGGGAGTCATCGAAGTCAGGACCGGTGCCACTCCGGCGATCAGTAAAAATCGACAGAGCGGGCACTTATTAGTGGTAAGGATACGAAATCCGAACTGATCCTTTAGAGCAAACGTTTTTCCATCGCACTCATTTCAACAAACCGTCGGATTTCAGGTCGCTTCTCCGTGAGACCTGAAGAAATCTCTCGGTGCTACGATGCTCGGAGCAGCCTTAACGCAATGTGATTTAGAGAATACGGCGACAGAACATTAAGAAGAGATAATATATGACACTTGGATACATTTTTAAATTACTCCGGCGATTTTGTACCTTATCATGAAAGGATGATAGAACGACAATACATAGGGTCTTTCATTCCGACGTATACTGCAGATTACGTCCGAATCTTGTCGAAAGTATGAAAGGCGCAGAGTGCCATAGCGCCTCCTGTATAATATTCCCTTGTAAATTAGGTAATATTATTGAATACGATATTTATTCTGATAGCAAGGAGGAAACTGACCGGGCTGGCGAGTTCGTTTGTCAGGTAATTTGTAAACGTTATTTAAATATAGGCTAAGCCTCGGTTACGCCAGCGCGATAAACGGAAAGAGGTTCACTTCACTTTCCTCACCGCCATCCCTTTTCCAATAGGCAGTCTCGAACAGAGTAACGATTGAGAAAGCTGTAGGTACATATGTAACAGTGTATTATTGATACATACAAGTATTGCAACAATTAACGTATTATTGTTTCTTCGAGCTGGAAGGACGTTTCTTCGTGAGAGCTTTCCTTCCCTCTAAGGCTCGCTCTCGTAAGTCATCTTCCGCCGCGGTGTTGACCGTTTTCGAGATAATCTTCTTCAGTTTCTGCGCACCCTGCAGCTTTGCCTTCTTAGGTTGAACAGGGGCGTCTACGAGGAAGAGGCACTACAGTATATTACCGAGCTCAACGTTAGAGCAATATCGTTACGACTCTGGGAAAGCATGTTCTCTCATAATCGCTTACTTCCACGCTTTTGTACGGCAGGGCCCTTCTTGCCCTTCTTGCCCTTGCCCTTCGCCTTTGACGATGTTGGTAGCTTCGTCTTAACTTTGAGTTTTCCCTGTGCCATCGTGCGTACTTTATCACTTACACGAGCTCGAGTTTGTATATTCAACAAATGTAACACCGCGCTATAAAAGGAGCAGAGAGCACAAAAAGATTAGACGGGAGCAGACGAAATCCCTAACGGGATCAAATAATTAAAGCTTTTAATATTATATTCATGTACATCCCAAGTAGAACATATCAGTCATGAAAAGACATTAAATTACTTAGTGAAAATATAACTTTTTTTTATTAAAAAAATTTGTATCTGCAATTCAAATGTTGTATCAAAACATACTAAAAGTTTTACAAACTTAAACATTTTTCCTTTAGAAAAAATTCTTAAAAAACGTTATTTTCTGCTTTCTAAAGTTGGCTCCTCTCTCGAGACATCAAAATGTTGTAAAAATGATCTTGTTTTACAAAGCAAAGTTAATTAAATGTTATATATTAGAAATAAGTTGAAGTAATATAGGATAAATATAATTTATGACTAATCATGTAATAATATATTGTGCACATCACGAATATCATAAAACAGCATGTCGCAAATCAGTCATTGCAAGGTAAATCTTGATGCCGATCATTTTATGACGTAAAATCCATAATTTTAATGTCACATTGACGGCTTTGTGATTAACTTGTTCTACTTGGGATCAAAGCGTACGATATCAATTTAAAGACTGCCCACTTGTACCAATGCTAAAAGATACAATTACACCTTTCTAGTAGCTCTAAGAATTAGACGAGGATGAGAAGCAAGTTAAAGCGAGATTAAAATTAACTTATATTAATAGAAATGGACACAAATCGTGCACCTTCTCTCGTAGCGACGTTAAAGATTGAACTCACAAAGCGGACGTGATTTCCTGAATTATATACAAATTTGCGAACTGTATCGCGTTTCCACGCAAAAGATTATGCTAAGCTGTATTTCCCACGTAAGAATATTGCGGATTAAGTAGGAAAAGTATGTATTTATACGCTTAGGTTACGTCGCAATACGTACCGCTGCGTCGCAGTTAGTTTGTCGACTACAGGTGCGTTCCACAAACACGCCCGTTCGTCCACAGCTGACGTTCGTAAAACCTTTCCTTTTCGATGTCTTTTAAAATCCCGGTGACCCAGTCGCAAAAATTGCCGACCGGCAAGCGCACGATTTTGCAACACGATAGCCCTTTACACATGAAAAATTGAATATTTATACATTATCTCGTAGATCATACATGGACTGTATAACTTTGGACCGCCAGTTACCTTCGCTTTTCCTATTCTAACGTGTAGTCAACATATACATATATGTTGATATCACGCGTGGCGCCACAGGTCAAACGACAGAAAGTCGAAACAACGTCAGATTTTTATGGTAAAACAAGAGAGAAGACAGAGACAGAATATAATATAATTTATTTCGTGCTGTTTTATCATGTTTAGCAAAGTTCAGAACCACGTGGAATCGGGTTTGTTGGAAATCTGTAATACCAGTCAATTTACTTTAGTGCAAACTTTTCAAGAATAATTGAATACATCAAAATTCAGTAATTTATATAATACTTTCAGGTTAAACTATATCTTCGTGTCTCTCAGATAACATCTAAAGAAAGAGCCAACTATAAACCGGAGGAAGAAGTAAGAATTAAGATCTAAAGAAATAACATAGATGCGTCGCTATACCGTGAGCAAGATATGTCATTGAAGTACCGGGATTCTGCCACTTAACCTATGATGGCGCTCGTGATGTTGATTGCAGCCTGAAAGGACCAGCTAGCAGCCCATGTGACTACATAGTCAAAGCCCCGTCCAGTGGTCTATGTCGACGGGAACAACAGCAAAAGAAATCGCAAAATTTGTAGAAATTATGTACGTTACGTAGAACGAGGAAGCCAGGGGGAAAACAAGGGAGAAGACGCACGCGGCGAGCGCGAAGTCACGTCGAACGCGGCATGGCGGCGGCGGCCGCGGCGGCCTGCGGCGTCGGCGGTCGCTGAGGGGGGGCTTGTAGGTGGAAGAGTAGGAGGAGGAAGCGATGGGCCGCGCGGCGGGCGACGGGGACCGGAGCGCGAGCTACGCAGGAGATGTCGACAAGATGACAGCGGCCGTATGACGGACGCTGGCTGGCTGGCTACGCCGTTGCCCGCGCGACACGACAGAGCCGAGGCGACGTCGCCGCGCGCCGGGGAGTGCGCCAGGAAGCGGTAGCTGCGGTGAGTGCGGCGGACGAGGGGAGCGAGCGACCTGACGACGTCGCCGTCGCCGTTGCTGCTGCTGGTCGCGGCGGTGCCGCGCCCCCGTGCGATGCGCACGACGGCGCGGTGAAGCGTTGGAGCGGCGTGGATCCCCCCGTGGAGGAGTCGCCGACGAGGAGTGCCGTCGACCTCCCCCCCCTCCTTCCCCGCGCGCGCGCGCCCGCGCCCGGCGGCATGAGCGTGTTTGGGGACTTCCAGCGTGTCTGGGTGCAGCGGTTCCCGGACAGCGCCTTGCCGGCTGCCTGGGAGGAGGATGTCAGGGCGAACCTGGTCAAGCACAAGCAGAAGGTGAGTCCGAAACCCCGAGACGACTCCCTCGCGCGCGCTCTGTCCCTGTCTCTGTGTGTCTCTCTCTCTCTCGCTCTTCCCTCCCCCCCTCGTCCGTTTCCGACGATTGATCGCGTTTGTTGATTCTGCCCGACGAGGTGCGCCCGGACGAGAATAAATCGCGGCGCGGAGAGAACGAGGGGATGAGCGCCGAGGCAAGGGTGAGACCCGCCGAAGCGGTGTCGCAACGTCGTATCCGCCGGGCGTTTATTAGTCACGTGTGAACGACGCTCCGTGTGTACGTGTAGCGCCGCGAGAGAGGTTTTATTTCGTTCAATTGACATCCCGGAGGGGCCCCGATGACTCACTCCGCGCGGCCCGGAGTAGCCGAGTTCAGTTTCTCTCTCTCTCTCTCTTCCTCCGCGAGTCTAATCGAGAGACTCGGGGGAACGAATTTCTGAAAGCGACGCGACACACCGGCGATCGCGCGATCGAGGATGCAATCTTGCGTAACGGCCGGGCCCGTGACTGCAGCGGGAGGTGTCGCAATGTTTACCAGGTATTTATTAGTCAGGGCGAGAGTCTCTCGCAGGCAGAGCGGACGGCGAAAGAGCCGCCGCGAAGGTCCCGGCGACGTGCCGGTTGCACGCGCCGACGCGCGGAGGCGGAAGGGAATTCAATTCCGCCGCCTAATAACAACGTAGTCATGTATAATTCAATTAACGCCGTGCTCGCACGACCTGATGACTCATCGAATTAATTGTCGGAAACCTGTGTCGCTGACGGGGCACTCGCCACGGAGCGCCCGCGAACTGTCGTCGTTCCTTCCGTTAACATTTACAATGGGTTCTCCTGATAAGCGGACAAACGCGCGAACGAGAGATGAGAGAATAGTAAACATTGACTTGCCGCTCCGCCGCTGAATCACCGCGGAGTTATCTCCGCCCGCGTTATCGGGACCGAAGAAAAGGTTGATTATAGTTATTAGGTCATCTTTCAGAGTTCGCGGCGCTGCGTATTAACAGTCCCCCGGGGACCCTTTGCTCGGGCCTTGCCGAAAACGGCATTACGGACTCGATTGGGACGCGGCAGAAAATTTGTATAATTATATAACAGTCTCTTCTTATTTCAAGTTTGTTCCAGATGTAGTCTGGCGAAGTATC